AGGCGTGTTTCACCCGAGTTTGTGAGGGAGAGCAATAAAAGAGTGTGACAGTTAATTACGATCGCGGCAGCCGGATGGAAAAGCTGGGCTTGGCAGGTGCTCCTTGCTGACAGGTTCCCCCTGCACAGCCCCCACACAAATGTCAGGCTCAATAAAAATCCTTCGGGCTGTGTGAGCGAGGCAGCTCTCATGTGGGAGTCTGCTGGCAGGGCGCTTCTGTATTTCAGGAACCTTTTACCTCTGTAGGTCATGGAGAGGTGGAGAGTCCTGCCAGCAGGGTCTACTTCAACCTGTTCAATTATTTTTGATACCAAGCATTTTGTCATGTCAATGAGTTTTACATTTGTTTTGATATGAAATGATTTCCAGAAATTTCAGTGAAAGGGTTATTTGAGATGATACTGCATCCACAAGTATTTTTAAAACCTATACTTTTTGCTTATGGTTGTGATTCTTTTGTCTGGGGGGGAAAAAATAATAACGCCAGGTTTTACCCATGTGGAAATCTTGCCTGATAGGATGTTTTGAGAGAGAGGTTGGGCTTGGACTCGCTTGTCACAAAACCTGCATTATAGATTTCACCTATGTGGGGATTAATCCATCTGCAGTAATTTATCCTGGATACTTCTCCTGAGGTCTGCCTCTGACCTCACAGTTCTGCCTAAGGTAGGGTCAGCTGTGCAGGAGTGGGGTACTCCTAGACTTCCTCCTGCTTTTGCAGCCTCACAGTTGCTGTGATGTTAACAGCTCTCAAAATGTTGACTGTGTGAAGATTTCCTGCATTTCTACACCTACAGTTTAGCAGTGTAATTAAGGTCCTGATTCTGAAGCCAAGGTGTTCTGACAGTCTTCAGTGCCATTCAATGGTGGGATGGAGAGTTACTGGTTCTCCTTTATGATATTTAAGTGGTGCTGGAGACTTAAATACATTTTTCAGTAAAAATGGCATCTGGTATTGGAAAGCCAGTGAAATTAGTATTTTTTCAGAAGTGCTGTAGATGGTCAGACGATGCAAATGTATGTTTGCTTTAGCTCGCAAGCAAAGTGATGCTTACCAAATTTCATCATGGGGTGAAACCGCAATGACTGCATTCTCAGACTGATTTTAGTTTTCAAATATTAAAAAATCTGTTAGAAAAAGGGTGGGGGGAGGAAAGGAAATTAAATAAGTAAAAATGTACAAAACAAGAAGTTGCTGTCAAAAAAATGCCTATATCAGGAAGCGTAACAGATTTAAATGTGATTTCATACATCTGGTTATGTCTGGAAACAAAATTTTCTTGGCTTGAAGATCTGTATAAGCTAGTGAACTGTATGTACTCCTTGGTGCAGTGATAGGATTGGGCTGTGGTTGCTTTTATATCCCCTGCAAGAAGTATGAGAGTGGTTTAAGGTGTCCAGGGGGAAATTTCAGTGCCCATTGATACATGAATCCAGCTGGCTTGAATGGTCATTGGATATAGCCAGAGGAGATAGAAATAAAAGCTGTGGAGAGCCCTCTCCTGCTATATTGATTTTGGAGTTGGTGTTCCTGATCTCAGGTCCATCAGACAAAGGCAGAATTAATTAAGATTAATTGTGAGTCTTTGGTAAACTGTAGAATACATGGTTTATTCTGCCAAAATGTGTATTGGGAATGCCTTTAGCCAAAGTAATATACCAAGAACAGGTTTGTCTTTCATATCCATTGTGGATTATTTTACCTGACAGGCTTCAGGAATCTTTTCTGGTGGTCAAGCTGAGTGCCTGTGCAGGAATGCACATGTGCTTTGTCTGAGACTGGTGGGACACTTTCAGGATTAGCTGGAATATCTCATAGAGGAGGATTTCTGTCTCTAACTGTTGTAATGACTTTCTCTGTCTTTAAAAACTTCATTTGAGGATTGTAAATAAAGTGGGGTTGACAAAAAATTAAAACAACACATAGCCTAGTGTATTTCATTAGGGCAGCACTAGCAGTTGCCTGAACTTCTCAGGCAGGCTCCTCTTTACTCACACATTTTTTATTTCAAAGGTATTTCTAGTTGGAGCACAGCTCCTGGTGCACACAGCCGTGCACACACATGGCCCTGCGTGGATTATGTGAGGGGCTTAGCTCTGGCTGCCTGGATTTGCAGGCAGCGTGTTGACAGGAAATTAGTTTGTACCAGGACGTGCCTTTGGAGGACCATTTCCAGGCAGTTGTGAGGATGACATCAACGTGTGGAGGTCAGGTGGAGGTGGGGGGGGAGGCCAAGGCAGCCCCTTGGCTGGAAGTTGGTTTTGGCAGTGCCTCTGTGGGACTGGAGGGTTAATCGTGGTTTGTTTCTCTGGCTGCTGTTTGCGTCAAAACTCCAGGCAGCCTTAATCAACTTTGCCGGTGTTAATTTGGAAGCCTTGCTGGGAAACCATGGGAAAACGGAAAATCGCATCCTTGCGTGTCACCCCTGGAATTAACGGCTTGGGCAGCACCCGAGCTCTTGGAGCACACCGTGGCTCTGAGGCAGCTCCCAGCAGCTGGGGAAGAGATCTCTCCTTGTGCCTGCCTGGGATTTTTATAGGGTGTCCTGTTCAGCCAAAAGCTAATTTCTTGTAGGCTGTGCTAAAATGTGCAGCATGTGATTGCTTAGTGAACTATGTAAGTAACAGCACTGACATTAGAAGTCCATGGTGTCATAGGACCCAGTTGCTTCTTCACTTAATACTGGTTTTGTTTCTGATATTTTTTGCATGCATGGACTTAAAATTCTTTACTTCACTTTTAAGAGATAACAATAAAGCCCCTAATGTCCTAGATGCCGTGTTCTTGTTTGAGCTGTATTATACCATGAGTGATTGCCTAATTGCACTTTTCTGATGATGCCCTAATTGAATGGAAGTCTTTGCAATGTGCATTTCTCTGTGGGGACTTTCCTTAGAATAAACACTTCTTTACTGTGTTGTGGGTTCTGGGGGTTTTTTTTTTGTTTTGTTTTGTTTGGGGTTTTTTGTTTTTCATTTGGTTTTTTTGGGGTTCTTTTCAGTCAGAAGCTTGTAAGAGAAATGTTTACAATGGGGAAAGATGTAATATCTGTTCTAGCCACCTTTCTCTAAAACTACTTTTTTCTTTTTTCGAGGAAACAAAGAGAAGTTTAGCATCTCCTCCAAAGTCTTCTAGCTTCAGATCATCTCATATAATGTTAACATTTTTGTCCCAGCTTTGCAATTATTTTTTTCTTTGCTTAGCATTTTCTTTTGCTCAGTCTATTGGGTATAAAGTGGAGTAAAATTGAAACTCCTGCAAGATGGGAGGCCTGGATCCCTACTGAGACTAGCTAATGTTACAAAGTTGATTTTAATTTCCTTTAAGCTGTGTGTCTTTCCAAAAGCATTTGCTATCCATGTCCAACACCTGAAGTGTTTTATCACATTCAGCCCTCTATAAGTCAGTGGGACTCTGACCCATGGGTATGATAGAAATGCTCAAGTATGGCTTGGGAATTTCCAGTGTGGCTGCAGAAACTCCAGAATCTGACAACCAGGTAACCCAAGTCCCTTCTCTAATATTTCTTAGCAACCTTCTTTGCCAACATTTATTATAGCTCCTTTAAGATATTTTCCAGACTGAGTGTGATAAGTTCACTTTTTTGCTCTGGAAAACTGTAGAACTGGTTGTAGGATAGGAAAGGTGTAGGGGATTTATTTGGAGCTGTACAAGAGAAATGGAGCCACTACTGCTGCTTTGGCTCTGGGACATCACTGTGGTTACAGGAAGGCTGCTGGTAGGTGGGAGTGCTGCAGCAATATATGTGTATAATAACTTTACAGCTGTATTTGTGCACTCTCTGTCTGATGGAAATAATTGGAGCACTTACATTTTAGTTTATTTAATATTTTTACTTTTGGAGAATGAAACTATCAGGATGATTGTACAGCACTTCTGGGTGTGTAGGTGCCTGTTTATCTGTATAAACATTAAAGGGAACTTTTGGAATAGGACTTTCAAAAAATATGAGATTAAAAAATTATCTTAATCCTGTATAGATCTAGTCTTGTTTTAAATATCAGACTTCTTTTTGCTTCTTAGGCTATAGGGACCCAGAAGAACTGGAGAGATTAAATTTTTCAAATTGAATTGAGTCTATTTACGGGTAGAGAAGTAAAAGCTTCCCCTGTGCAGCAGAGGAGGGAATAGCCCTGGAAGAGCAGTCCTTTTAGTGAAAGATGATGGACGTGTGTGCCTGCCATCCACAGGGGAAGGTTGTGTGGAAAAGAGTGGAGTTTTGGTGTGTGCCAAGAGCAGGATTCCCAGTTTCTGGCAAAGGAGCATAAAACTCATGTTTTTGGTACAATGTCCGGGTGCTGTCTCTAGCCTGCTTCAGTTTCACTGCCCGTTCTCAGCAGAGGGAATATTTTATACTTGTCTGCTTTGGTTTTTTACATATTGGTGATTTCAAAACTGGAGTTTTCAGTTTTTTTAGTGTTGGGTTTTTTCTGTGGTATCTGGAAAACAAACTGAGTTAAAAGACTGACAATGCAATTATGAGGCAGTTGGTCAACACTCAATTTATTCTTATGTGATAGAATAAGAGAGAATATGAAAATGTAGAGCAGCTCTGCAAAACACATAACTGCCTAGCTTTTTTATGCTGCATAGGGTGGTGTAAGCTCTCACTTGGATGGTGCCAAAAATGAAGGTTTGTCTGACTAGTAAAGAAGCTGCGTGAATTCAGTTTTCTTAAAAAATGTTTATTCCAGATACCCACATTGTGTTCTTTACAACCTCCATAGCAGGGCAATAAGTAAAAAAACCCAAATCTCAGTTGCTTTGCTGAATACCAAGAAAACCTGTGGAACTCAAATTCTCTGATTTGGTTTAACTCACTTCATATCACTCATGCTGTTTCAGAGGTTGAAGGTTAAAATAAATATTATGAAGAATTAAGGCAAAAAGGTGAATTGGAAGGAATAGTGTATCTTTTCCTTTCTCCTGTTTCTAGGAAGGCAAAGATAACGCTGTGACTTTTTTTTCTGTGAATCAGCTCTTCAGGTGCTGGGAATGTAGCAGACCGTGTCTTGGCTCAGTTGCTGACAGAAATGGATGGGATAGAACAGCTGAAGGATGTGACAATTCTGGCAGCCACGAACAGACCGGATAGGATAGACAAGGTAAAAATAAATGCACTATGTATATCTTATTTCTCTTGAAAAGACCAGATTTTGCTATAATTCCATCCTCTTTTACTCTCTAAGCTGTTCTCTGATCAACTTAATGATGAGGAGCAGAAGTTCAGAAATGAAGACAAGGCAGAGGAATGGTTCATGTCCCTCACTTTTTTTCCCCTCTCTACAGAATTTTTAACAGAAAAAAATGTTTTATGGTAGCCTTAAATATCTGTTTCCTAGAAGAAGTTTTCCCTAAGCCAAACTCATTGAACTAGTGCAGCAACATTTCTGTTAAACTGCTGCTGTGGTTTTTGCTTCTGTTGTGTTTGTTTATGCAGGAGTTTGCTGGAGTTTGTTGGTTTCATTAGTTACTTCCTTTCAAGGATTAAGTGTCTCAGCAATTCAGTTACCAACTGTAAACAGGAAAATTTCTCCTCAAATCCACAGCAGCTCTGCTAGTGTGACAAGAACCTTTCAAGTTCGTAAAATCTGGGCGGTTGTAACACACACTACAGAAAATGTCCAAGCACAAACCCAACCCAGCAACCCACTAGGAAAGCCACTTTAAAACAGTTTACCACTGCAATGTCTTCTCACAGCTAAGTGCAGTAGATGGATCAGTCTGAAGTGGTTTCCTTTAAGATATGATTTGTAGTGTTGGTAAGATTCTTCATTCCACAACTTTTTGCCTTCACAACATTATTGAGTTTGATGACATGTTAATTCATTAAGTTTTTATTATATTTTTAGAGTTTCTTTTAAGTTTCTTAAATAATTGTCACATTCTAAGCTGTTTTTGGAATAGTGTTTTCTATTTTTCTTGGAGCATTCAGGCATAAAATACATATGAAATGTGTATGTTTAAGGTATGGCTTTTATGCACATGAAGTCTTGAGAAAAAAAATTTGCATTTTGGCTCCAGAACACAGCCTCTTCCTTTTTGCACTGAAGGAAGCCACACAGCTGATGGAGACCTGACAAAGGCTTCCTCAGAGCTTACTTGTACATTTATCTCAGCCTGCCATGGCAAAGCAGGACTAGCAAAGAGTTTTCAGTAAAAGGTAATAAAACTCATCAGTGAAGAATATGCTTGTGCAAGATTGAAACTTTCAAGATCTCACTTTTGTCAATTTGTGTAGGCACACAATTTGTGGTATTTGGGAGTGGGGCTGTGGCTGGACCTCATCCCCAGTGGGCACAGCTGTGAGCAGCAGGTGAGCAGCACTGACAGCAATGAGCCAGGGAGTGCCCAGGGGCACTGACCAACCAAAAAGGGAACAGAGGGCACACAGGTGCAGTGCATCAGCATCAGGGTGTAAAAGGTTGGGCTGAAGGACAGGAAGGGCAGGTGCTTTCAGCCTTCTGGAGTGGTGTTACTTTGTGTGGGTTGAAGCCTTCTGAAATTGTATGGTGATTCTTTGTGTGTTGTGGCTGTCTCAACTGCGATGTATGCTGAGACAGGTTTGGAGTTTTTTTTGTAACTGTTCTTTGGGGTAAGACTAAGCTGAATTTGAATACGTTCTAATTGTTGAACAGCAGGAAAATTTCCTTTGGTGTCAGTTCAACATTCTACTGTGTTGTTTCTATCACCACCTGGAATCCTTTTGCTGGATTTCTCCTGGGCACACAGTGAACACTGCTTTCTCATATATTAAGTTTTATTTGAAATACTGGCAGAACTACCATGAGTTAGGGGTGCCACCCTGCAACACAGAGGACTTCAGGATAGAACCAAAGTTACAGTCCAGATGCAAATCCAGGCCTCTTAGCCTGAGAATGAAAGTTTTCATTTTGATATGATGCAAAAAAAGGTAACGTCTTCTGTACATATGAACTTTTAAGAATGAGCAACACAGTTTTGTTATCAAGACCAGACAGGCTGTACCAGGCCACCATCTTCTCCTGGGTCCATGCAATATTTGCAGTGTATGAGTTGTACTTTTCCCCTTCCCTGGAAGAAAGAAGATGACACCAGAAGGCATTTGTGCTTCACTAATGGGAAATCTTTCAGTAGTGCTTTTTGTTTACTCTGTAATTGATGATCCCTTTGAGAAGGTAAGAATTTGTTAAATTAATATTTTATATGGAAATAATTATGTATGACAATAAGTGAATGTCCTGTTTTCATAGATGTGTATGGAGACTATACAGTTATTTTGAAGGTATGGCTTTTACATATGGTATAAAAGTGCAATGCAGTTTCTGTTCTCTAGTTCCAAGGACTGGGAAAATGTCTGGAATACTTGTTTGTGACTATTCTTCAGTTTTCAAATCAAGAAATGCTTGAGGAGTGTGTGTTTTCTAAGGTGTCTATGCCTGCAAAATTGTTAACAATCCGTCCAGCATTTTAATTTATGTGGCTCCTGCTTAACTGACAATGATGTGATGATTAATCCTTGTAATTTGCAAACAGCACGTGGGGATATCAAATGTAAGGGTATTCCCCAGAGCCTAGTGCAGACTTCATTATCCCTGCAAACACTACAGTACGTTGCTTTTGGAGAGTGAATAGATTTGAGTCAGACTTTATACAAAGTTATGTGTAATGGGAAACTTGTTTGGACTTGTCACGGATGCCTATTAATAACATATTTCTCTGAGATGTCATGATGATTGTATTGAAATATTATTGCATCTTAAAGTTGTGTCTCGTGTTTTTGTCTCAGCTACTTTGCATCTATTCATGTGATGCTGGGGAGACTTTGGAATAGTTTCTGTTGTCTGTAAGAATACAAACCCAGCACGTACTGTTTTCAGCCATGTATGGTACAGAAAGTGATTTCTCTTGGAAGGAAAATATTCTGGAACAAGATGTTCTGAACATTCTTTGAAAGTGATACAGAAACAAAACACTCTGAGTCAGTAATAATAGTAAAATCTTTCCTTTTCTTCTTCATTCTATAAGCAGAATTGATGAGCAATAACTGGAAAAACTGCCTTTGGTTTTGGTGACTTACCCAGTCAGGAGTGATTTTTTTCATGCCTAAAATATGTAGCAGTAACTTTATGGAGCTGCTTATGGTTCAAAGCCTCTTTGTATTTTCCTATGTATCAGTTGTCCTAATGAGAGATCACTTATCCCACACACAGCTTTTTGAACCTGTGTATAAATTGCTCAGCTTGAAGTGCAATGTTCTGTCCAGACATACATGTGAACAAGTTTTCAGGTGTGGTGTGACAGATTTCCATGGAAGAAAACCTATACCAACTCGTCAGGATTTGTGTGTCCTGTTTTTCCTTTTCTCAGTGGAACCTGTTTTCCTGGTATTTTAGTGCTGGGCTTACTTCTAGTGTAAGAAGCGTGAATCGGTATCATTACCTACCCGTGCAGATATATTTTTCCCCTCTTAAGCAGCATTTCAAACTCCATTAGCAAGGGTACTAGGGAAAAAGAGAGATTGTCAGATCCCCAGGGACCTCGGTGAATGTTTTGGCACAGGAAGCCATATGCACGTTGCTGCAATGGATGGTTTTCCCTCCTGCTGGGTCAAATTTGAATGTCAAACACTTTAGCTGTGATGTAAAACACGAGGCGCTGAGTGAAGGGATGGCCCGTGGTACAGGGTGACATCCTGGTACTCCTGACAGCTTCACTTCTCCTTATCTTGGGGTGCAGAAAAGAGTATCCTCAAATATGCTATTTGCATAAGAATGACAGGATGTGATCAGACAAATGAAGATTAATGGGAAGCTGTGCTGTCACCATTGCCCATTGTCTCCAGATTGATGATGGTCTGGATTTTGTCTGCATTCATGGGCTTCAGTGTAGTTTAAACTGGAAGCTGTCCTGGTACCAGAATACTGAAGAGCTGAACCTTTACAAATGCTTTGTTAGCACAGGAGAGCAGTGCTCGGCTCCCCATTTCCAACCATCCTGATTGTTGCTGTAAAAGCATGTGTTTTGCATATTGTGCCAGTGCAGGGGATTTTTTCCTGCCTCTTTTTGCATGTTTATTTTGCTTTTAAAGAACTTCCTGTTCCCTAGCCTTCCTCCTTACTGTTTTCCTCTTCCATCACCTGCAAGTTTTCCTGCTCCTTATGTAAGCTTTGTTGACTTCATTCTATTAACTGCTGGCTTTGAATTCAGCTTATTTTGTTTAAGAGTCACGTGAATAATGCTGAGTTTTCTGTTCTGGTTGCATGAACAAAATAAAACAAACTGCAGCTGATATTCTTCCTAGCAACTGCCAAGCATGAGGAAAGGGAATTTAACTCCCCCCATGCTTCAGTTGGATTTGAAGGAGTCTTCTGGGTAGAGAAATCAAGCAGAAATGTATCAAATTGATCTGCCCCTCAAAATGTTGATTACTGTGTAGTTATGGGACAATCTTAATTTAAAGTGGCTTGTTTTGATGAAAATAAAAAATGCATGATAGAACCATTTGGCAGAATCAGTAAAGAAATTATAATTTCTTGCCTGCAGCAAAAGTTAATAATCTTTCCTGTTTAAAAACATCAAAGTTCACTCATTCTGAAGGCTCATGGAAGAGATTAAAATATTTAAGTTTTCAGTTTTACAAGTTAAAAGGAATAGGAAAGTATCTTGCACATTTATTCGTTATTGTCTGGAAATGTGTATGTGCTGTTACAAAGCAGGTGATGCAGTGTCACAGTCTTACTTCAGTACCACGTTGTATATTCTCCTGTTTGCATAGTTGCTTGTTTGTGATTTCTGTTTTGCCCAGGTACATGTCAGTGAAGGTTATTTCTGTGTTACAACTCTGACCTGGTAGAATTTCATTTTTCCCAAGTGTTGTATAGAACTGTAGAGTCAGAAACCACATAATCCATCATATGTCTTGCACTGGAAGGAAATGAGAAGAGTAAGGAAATGGGGATAAGTCTCTTGCTGCCGTTTCTCAGTAGTGCAGATTTCATCCAGATTTGGAGGACAGGGGACCCAAGACTGGGTGATTTTTTAGAAGGAAATGGTGCAGGAACATTTAACTTTCCCACCTCTTGTATTCTTGTGATGCAGTATTTTGGAATAGGAATTGAAATAT